GATTCACTTTTTTATATTGATTTTATATAAAAAAAGTGAGTTGCGGTATCGCGATTCACTTTTTTATATTGATATTAATATAAAAATGTGAATCGCAATATCGCAACTCATTTTTTATATGATTTTAATAATATAAAAATTGTATTGCAATATTGCAGTGCACTTTTTTACAATTTATAATTACTTAAAATCAAATTTACAGCAAATTATACATATATAATTTAAACATATAGATCTCTTATAACCTTATTGGCTAGGACTTTTTAGGACTTGGTCCGCTTCTGGTCCAAAATTTGGACCTAAAGATCTGCAGACCAGGTCCTAGGACCAGGTCTTTAGGTCCAGGACCTAGGACTTTACCATCCCTAGCCTATGTTGCTATTCGTGGCAATGTCTATGATATCACCAATTTCATAAAGAGACATCCCAGTGGTAAAGATATTTGCTATTTACTTCTGGAAGAGACTTAATATGTAGTCTTGCTAAAATTATATTATAAAGATCATGTATAGAAATTGCCAAAGGCATATGCATAATTGTATTATGCCATCGATCATCTACAGCAGGTGTTTCCTTTATAATTAAATTTTTTGTTATTAATAAATTTTATTTATAAAAAATTTAATTTAATTTCAATAGAAAAATACCTCATTAAAATATAGATTTAATTCTTCCCAAAATGGATTAAATTTTGTTCCCTTAAATCCACTATTTACTCGCAAATCAAATATTATTGACGGATCTTCTAGTGCTAACATTAATCATAATCTTTCTTCAACTTTACGGTTAATAGCATTTAATGTAGTAGCTGCATCACCAGTAAGGTCAAAATATAACATTCGTAATACAGCAGGAGTGACTGTTTTTATTAAAGAATACTGCATAAATAATATATATAAATACGTTAATAAATTATATAAAATTTTACAATTTACATTTTTTAAAATTTTAATTTAATTAGCAGTACCTTATTAAGAACATTTTTTCTCATCTGCTGAGTAAAGTATTTAGGCAATCCTTCATGAATTTCAGCTGACATGCAAACTTTTTCAGTTTCATCTTGAAATTCATTAATCACTTCAAATTCTGGTATTTTCCATACATACATTATTGTACTAATAAGATAATTTTCTTGCGTATATCTAAGAAAATAGAATTATTAACATTAATAATAAAATATTCAGTGTTGGAATTGGACATTGTCCAATTCCCAATAGTGGACTATTGGACTTTGGACCTAATGGAGATATCCAGTCCAATTCCAATTCAAATGGACTATGTCCTCATAAATTTGGCCGAATTAAATTTTATATACCATAATTCTGGCTAATTTTATAATGCCGGCTAAAATTAATTTTAATTCTTTACAATTAAAAAAGCATACGTGTACATAAATTTGTGCTGTAAATTAACCATAATTGGTTAAAAGGATGATCAATCGATTGAAAAATATAAAAAAAAAAATTTTTTTATTTAATCTCTTTTTGCGATCATCTTCAAAATAAAACAAAGAAAAGATAAGGGTACTCATTTCTAATTTTAATTATCATAATATTATGGGCCGTCGACCACATTTTTTAACACCATATGTTGTAGTTTTGCACGCAGCAAAAAAGGCAAATAAAAGCAACAAGTATGCAGTATGTCGAGCTTGTATTAGTATTATTGGAAAAGATGAAGCATATAAGTTAAAGTTTACAAATACTAAAAAAGAATGTGCACGTCATATTAAAAACTGTCCAAATTTTGCGCAGAAATATAGTTCACAACAAATAGCAAAACTTCTTGATGACGCAGCAAAAGATGGTGCGAAGAGTAAACC